CAGTAAGATAAAAAATAATAACGTAATAATAAACGAAAACCCTTTCTCAATGGGAAATAGAGCTCTATGCAAACCATTTACCATAGAATATTTAATGATTATAAATGGCTTCCATTTCCCTAACAATCGTATACAAACTCAAACTCAAACTCAAACTCAAAAGCATTTATTTCAATTAGACCATAATTTGGTACTTTTGAAACGTCAACAAATATGAGATATATAATAGTCTGTCAGTCTGTCCGTCACTGAAGCTAGGCGCTCGTTCCAAAATGTCGATTCGAGTGGAGAAGAACGAGCAAGAAACTCCATTCGTTACTCTTTTTAAAAAAAGTCTGTTTTACATTGCTCTGATACATATTCCAATATTGTACACACATGTGAGAATAATGTAAAGACATACCTGACGCAACATACAAATAACAGAACATACTAAAATAGAAAAAAAAAAAAAAACCAAGAGAAAACAAATATCTTAAGTCTGACATGGTCCTCACATATGTATACTGACAATCCATATAAAATAGTGCTTCTATACAAGAAAAAAATAAAAAATAAACTATTGTTTAAATAAAGAAAGAAATGCTCGATGCCACAAGAAAAATAGATTGCCTTCATCGGAATCAAAGTGTTAAATTACCTATTATCGTAATCTGAACTAGGTACTGACTACATTTGAGTATTGTCCAGTGGAGCCGAACCAACACGCTGCCAAGCATTCCTATCCTCAAGATAATCAATCACCCTGTAGTACGCTTGTTTACATAATTCGCGCTTAATATATGTTTTAAATTTACTTTCATTTAGATCTAGTATGCTATTTGGTATTTTATTATAGCATTTAATACCTAACCCCATAAAGGATTTCTGTACCTTGGACAGTCTGAATTGCAGTACAGCTAACTTATTCTTGCCTCTAGTATTAAGATTGTGTCTATCGCTTCTTTTTTCGAACAATTGCCTATTCTTTCTTACATACATTATATTTTCATATATGTATTGACAGGGCACCGTTAAGATGTTTATCGTTTTAAACAATTCTCTTAGCGATTCGCAACGGCGTAAGTTATATATTGCTCGGATAGCCCGCTTTTGAAGAATAAAAATTGATTCTATTTCTGCAGCTCGACCCCACAACAAAATGCCGTACGACATAATGCTGTGAAAGTAACTAAAATAGACAAGCCTTGCCGTATCTACGTCCGTGAGCTGTCTAATCTGTCTAACTGCAAAAGCAGCTGAGCTTAATCTCCCCGAAAGCGCCTTTATATGTGGGCCCCATTGTAGTCTATTGTCTAATGTAATGCCTAAAAATACCGTCTCGTCGACAAATTCTAACTTTTGGCCGTTTAAAACAACATCACAATCATTACTTCGGACGTTTGGTAAACTAAATTTAATACATTTTGTTTTTTTCTCATTAAGCGCTAGATTATTAATGGTGAACCAGTTTTGCACTCGAAGAATGGAGCTGTTTACGTCGTTAAGATTATTAGCACGTCGATCTATTTTAAAAATTAATGAGGTATCATCTGCAAAAAGCACCATTCCTGGTTCATTCTTGAATATAAATGGTAAATCATTTATATAGACTAAAAAGATACAGATATAATAAAAAAGAAAACAAAACAATAATAAAAAAAATCCGAACCATATTATATGCCCCGTTTAATTTGTCCTGAAGTACATTTCTCCAGAGACGAAAGTCGTACGAATATAACAACATATGCAAATGTAAAATGTTTGCGTAAATGCAATATTAAGTAAGGGAAAATACATCTTATGTATATCTTAATGGTTACATGAACGACTGCGTAGTTAGAGGTTCCTTGGAGAAACTTAGGAATAAAATTATTTTTTTATCATCATCATATCATCATATCAGCCACAGGGCGTCCACTGCTGAACGTAGGCCTCCCCAATGACTTCCAGATAGGCTGGGATAGATACTTCCAATTTTTTTTATGTTTTTTTATATAATATGGTGCGTAGAGTGGTCGCACCGTCTCCACAACCTTGTTCGCGATTGCTGCTAAATGCTCTAAGTCCTTCACTTACAGCTAACACACTTCGTACGGACGTCGGCAAATGTCCTTGCCACATTATTCGAAGTGTATCGTCCTCTAGGTGCCCACCCTGTGGTCTCAGGGAAGACGGTGGTACAGTGGTCACGTGCTGCCGTAGACAGCAAGGCTTAAAGGAGACTCCCATCTCCTTAGAGATGTGCTGTAACAGACGTTGCATCGTGGAGGCGCCGGAGCAGGTCTCTTTAAGAGGACCCAGTGCCTCCATTCAGGTATTGAGGGTGGCCACCGAGGTGGTTTTAATGAGGTAAAAATCCCACACTTCCTAGTCTTTTATCCCCAAAAAGACTAGGCGCCTTTTCAAGGTTTCCGCCGCAAAAAAGGGCTAAAAATAGAACTAGCTGTTACCCGCGACTTCGTCCGCGTAGAATATGATTCCTGTATTATCCTATGGGAGCAATTAATTAGGATATTCTATAACGTAAGTTAGCCCATACTCTTCCTGCATCCCAAGTTTCATGAAAATTTGTTCTGTAGTTTCAGCGCGATTGACGGACAAATTAGTGTTATAGAACTTCTGTGACTTTTTTTAATTGGATAAGCCGGTAAACGATTCGACGGATCACCTGACGGTAAGCAACCGGCGTCGCCCATGGACACCTGGAACACCAGAGGCGTTACAAGTGCGTTACTGGCCTTTTGGGATTAGGAATTTGAGGATTGTTGAGGATTCAAGGATTGGGGAAAAAGGGGAGGTAATTGAGCCTCCGGTAACCTCACTCACACGACGAAACACAACGCAACGCAAGCGTTGTTTCACGTCGGTCTTCTATGAGACGTGCCATAGCATGACTCTCCCACACTTAAAAACCTCATGCAGGATTACTACACAGGGGATTTTGAGTTTTATTACCAGGGTTGGCAAAGTAGGAGACTTTGACATCACTCTTGCGACCTGTCTTAAATCTGCATACATTTTCTCAGTTTTCACACACAGTTTGTTAGACAGTCAGCCTCTTTGTGAAACTCCTAATAACATAACAAAACAAACTGCAAACTCTTTCAAATACAAATACAAGAATTTTCAAAGAGAAATATAGAAAAATGAAATATCTAATAAAGAGAAACATGAAATATTATTATGTGGATATCCAGCGTGCTGTCAGTTGTCTTAGCATCTACTGAAGAATATAAGATACGATATGTACAAACACGAATGTTGAACTACTGGATGAGATTTATATTAAAACGAGTTAAGCGACTACGCTCAAGCGGGGTGACATGAATGTGGGTTCAAGAGTAATTGTGTAATTGTAATTTAAGAACTTAAAAAGTAGATTTTCAGATTTATTTTTATTTTTTCATAGTGATTTTCACGTGGTCTTCAAATAGGGCCATAAATATTTATCCCGGACTATGAAATAAACTGAAATATTTTTCAGCGTATAAACGTCGCGTCGTAAGAAATTCATTTTTTAGATTTTTTTGCAAAAATGTAACTTATCTTTTTTTTTAAATCGTTGCCCCACACTAGGGGCTTCTCCTGTGTCATGGGTGCGATTACAAACATATAAGTTCACATACACATGACACCCAAACTCGAAACAACAATTTATGATTCACACAAAGAGCTGCTCCGTGCGGGAATCGAACCCGCCGGACGTTGCAGTCAATTTATCATTTCAACTTTTTCTTTTTCTATTTGCCCATTGCAATCCCAATCCTAAATGTTTGTTACTACTTACTAAATATTATCATGACATCGATATTTTTTAAAGCTCCATATAAAATATGCCAAAAATCTATATCTAGTACCTAATTCTAGCAACAGAATAAATGATACTGACCAGGTGTTGATTTCCCTTATACCCGAAAGAGCCACTTCCATTCCCCTAAATCCACGCAACAGAAAAATAATAAAACATCGTTCGCATAAGAGATTAATTTTTCTTGCACGTTAAGCTGTGTTCCGCAACCATACTTGTTTGGCCTGTCTTGGCGTGTTCTTGGCTTATTCCGCCATTCTTGGCTATATTTGGCATGGGGCACTTGGCAACTTGGCAAAATATTATAAACATTTAGTGGTTAGGAACTGATGTTTAGAGGGAGTTTGTAAGCGTGATCGGTGTTAAATAGATTTCTTAAATGGTCTATGTTTTTATACTAAAGAACATGGCAAAGGATGGTAATGTATTTGTAGAATGGGAATCAATATTTCAATAATTACTTTTGAAGCAATAAGAGTAGGAAAAAGTGAACGCAAATCTATAATTCTAAATTTACGAATTGGTTTTTACCGGCTTATGCCATACATATCCGGTAAACGACCAGACGGATCACCTGATGGTAAGCATGGTAAGCAATCGGCGTCGCCCATGGATACCTAGAACACCAAAGGCGTTACAAGTACGTTACCGGCCTTTTGGGGATTACGAGTTTGAGGATCGTTGGGGATTCAGGAATTGGGGAGATTGGGGAAGGGGAACCAATTAGGTCTCCGGTAACCTCACTCACACGACGAGACACATCGCAAGCGTTGCTTCGCGTCGGTTTTCTGTGAGGCTATGGTATCACTCTGGTCGAACTGGCCCATTCGTGCCGAAGCATGGGTCCCCACACTTAAAAAAAATTCTAAATTTACGAATTGTTAAACTAATTATTTTCAAGGGACTGTCAAACATCATACTTATCCTTATAATGGATCGACTAACAAGGCAAAAGAGAAAGCTTCAAACATTAATTTGTAATCTTCCCAAAGATGAATTGACTTATAAATCTTTGACCCAATTAAAAGTTTCAGAAATAAACAGAAGAAAGGATAAATAAATACAAACAACAGAATAAATCTTTAACAATCGTATACATATAATCAACAACATGCAACAACAATAACAAGTTACAACAACAACAACATACAATAAATAAATCAACTACAACATGAAGACAGTTGAAAATGACTTAAAAATTAACAACAATTATATTTACAAGGCACAACAATTCGAAAAGTTCTTCGATAAATTTAACAATACCAAATGGACGTTGACAGAAAATTGAGCAAAAACAATCCTTAACCTTAACTCCTTAGAGTATACAAAACAATATTTTCTGTAGTCTCCAGACCATAAGGGGCTTTCTTTATAATCAGTCCTTCACTATTAATAAAAGGTTCATCAGTATTGTTAACATTTCCCAAAGAACTTCCTTCGTTCCTACTCCTTAATGCTCCTTATGGTGGTGGATGGTTTTGTACACTGGGATCTTTACAGGGTAAGGCTGAGGCACGTGCACGTGAACAGTCTTCTCGACCTTAATTGGCACGTGCTTCTCAACGGGGTAGGGAACATGCTTGACTACTGGGTAAGGTACAACCTTCTCAACAGGGATGGAAATCTCAGTTTCGACTGGAACAGCGACTGGCTTGTTGACTGGAACTTTCACTGGGTAAGGCTGAGGTACACCAATGAGGATAGGCTTGGGCACATGCACGTGAACAGGCTTAGGGATGGCAAAAGTAACGTGTTTGTAGTTAGGCACTTCGACGGGGTGTTCTTCATCAACGTGAGTACCAACAGGGATAGCTTCAGCGTGTCCAAAATCGTGACCATCTCCTTGACCGTACTCGTGACCAGCGTCTTGCAGGGGAAAGGCGTGACTGCCGAATCCATGACCACCATCAGCCTGACCACCGAATCCATGACCACCCTCAGCCTGACCACCGAATCCATGACCACCTCCGATTTGACCACCGAAGTTGTGACCACCGTTTCCTTGTCCACCGAAGTCGTGACCACCATTTCCTTGTCCACCGAAGTCATGTCCTCCGTTACCAAGAGATCCGGCATCGTCATGGCCCTGATGGCCAGATTCCTGAGCAGCTAACAAGTAAGAGTCTCCGCTAAAATCCTGACCACCGTGGCTGCCGCCGTCAGAAAGTTGGGCGTGACCGCCGTTGCCGCCAAAGTCTCCGTGGAAAGCTTGGCCACCACTGAATCCGTGGCCTCCAAAATCTTGGCCGCCACCAAGGTCGCCATGTCCCTGGGCTAAGGCGAGTGTGTGAGATTGGCCGCCTGAGAAATCGTGTCCAGCGCCGCTACCTCCAAAACTGTGTCCGCCAAGTCCAGCCAGTGCGTGTCCCTGGCCGCCAGAGAAGTCCCCACCACCGCTTGCTCCGAATCCGGAGCTGCCTCCATGTCCACCATCACCAGCTACTTCGTTGGAGTAGGCCCCTTCCCACCCGGCCTTGCAAGAGGCAACTGCCAGCAACAAGCAGATCTGTAAAGAAAGAAAGAAATATTAACATCGATTTGTACTCACAATGAGGTAAAAACGAATCTGAATGATGTTTCAGGTAGTAAAAGAAAAAACTACGTAACATTTAACCAGATCGTAATACTGAAAGATGCAAATCTCAGTCAGGTAGAACGTTCAAGCTTTTTAATTAGAATAATCGTTTACACCTACAATATTGATAACTCCAAATCACTAACAAATGAAAGCAAAATCGTTTCAGAAAGGCTTTGAATAGACCATTTAACTCGTTGAGAACAATCGACTACCAGATTTCGCGAAGGCAGAAGGATAATTAAAAACAAAAGAATAAGATCAACATCGCGAACGGTGTCTTAATAGCCAATTTGAACTGAATCACCGCCTTTAATTACGAAGTTGGTATAATAAAAAAAATACTGAACAACTTTCTCAATTCGTTTTTGAAGTAACCTATTTAAGGTCTAAATTACTTTGAATCGAGTTGAGAGATGAGTGTAGTGTAGTGGTATTTTCCACTGTTTTTCGTTGCTCTCAGACAAGCTTTTTTGTTTGGTTATAAAAAGTGGTCGAGTACGTGTTGAATTACTAAATGAATATTAAAAATACTGTTACAAAAATATGGGAATTTTCATAATGATTTATTATATCATTCACAAAGATTTTAGTATTATAATATTTTATAGTCTTCTATTAAATGATTTATCTATTATATTAAATGCAACAGCTTTTGCTAATAGTTTTTACATCACTAACGAAGAATACTCTACTCTACACTAAGCATAAACCCAGGTTCCAAATTGTGACTGAAAAAATTTGAACACTTATACTTTCAATACTCCTTTTATAGACCACTCGATCAACAAGCAAGCGACGAGCAAAAAATTCTAATCATAATATTTATTATGATTGTACAATTGTACATTCATTGACAACTTTCTGATTCACTTACAATCTTACAAAGAAGGATGTGTCGAGTGTTTTACAATCTCCTTTCACTGTACCTTCACTTTCTATCATATTAAACTCCTTTATTATTATTATTAAACTAATTGATTCTCTATTTTTAGATTGATATTTTCTATTTCAGTTTTGTTACGTTGGTTTCGCTTTTATTGTAAAGCTATCATGAATTCTGATGTCAGATTCATTGACTGTTTGAAGAGGTCACTCAAGGAACAGTTAAAAAATAGAGGTATACAGAAACCTTCAAATATTTAGCTTCAAAAATATTGTTTTCTAAAAGATTACACGTAGATGCGTTTATATTGCATCAAAATCTACTCAAAACATAACATAACATCACGCCTTTTATCCTCGAAGGGCACACCTCTGCCTACCCCTCATTATGCCACTGTACAGTGTAACACCCACTTTTCACTATTTCTATACTTTATGTTAAGAGTCCCATGTAATAGAGGGTAAGCCTATTGCCATATACCGTGCACAATTCCAGACTCCGTGCTACCACGGAGATTTTTTTTAAACCCAGTAATACTTTGCCCGTCCCGGGAATCGAACCCGAGATTCCTTGCCCGGCAGTCGCACTTGCGACTACTCGGCCAATGAGGCAGCATTAATATGTAATTTAAACAGTACCATGACACAAACAATACTAAATCACTATCAAAAACATCTACTACCATTTAAAAAGTAAATAACCTATTAGTCTAAGTCTGAAAAAGACTACTGCACTATTACGTGCATTTTGTGCAATCAAGGCTTGCACAAACATTGATGTAACGCCGAACGATATAATGTACTTTTAATGGTCACCTTGCAGTATTACGTGTTTCCGTATCCGCATTTTGATAGTTACCGATTGTGTGCTGTCGATCACTCGAATTGAAAAGCCTTGTTATGTAAGAGGTGCTGGGAAAGGGGATTGCAATTTTATTGCTTATGAATGGTGAGAAAAATAAAAACATCCTGTACTCAAAATAATGATGCAATTGCAACTGGTGATGGATTTTCTCCTTGTGTGGTTTTTGTTCTGTGTGACTGCCTCGATGGCCGAGTGGTCGAAAGTGCGACTGCCGGGCAAGGGGTCTCAGGTTTGATTCCCGAGTCAGGCAAAGTATTACAGGGTTTTAAAAAAAATCTCAGTTTCAGCACAGAGTCTGGAAATGTGTCCTGTATATGGCAACAGGCTCACCCCCTATTACATGGGACTCATAACATAAATAGTGAAAAAGTGGGTGTTACTTCTGTGTGCTTACCTCTGCGTACCCCTACAAGGATAGATGGCGTGATGTTATAGTGATGCTATTTGTAGTGATACATCAGTTATCATCAACAGTAAAATAACGTTAACTGCTGCATAAAGGCCTCTCCCCTTACAAGAGTCGCCCCCTTGATAAAGGATATGATGTAAAGAGATTTTTAGATCATCATGATCATATTATCAACATCAAGACGTGCACTGGACAAACATTAGACTTCTTTTAGACCTTCTTGATTGGTTGGTTGGAACTTGGAACTGACCGAAATACAGATCGGTAGATGTCACTTACAAAATTAGATATAAAAAGTTTTAAAACTGAAACTAGTTCAGTAGCCAATTTAGCGCAAGAAAGAGACAAAACAAATAATTTCGCTGCAATAAACAAAGCAACACTAAACGACAGACTAGAACAATTAACAATTACACCCAGACCGGAAAGAACAAATGTATTCGATGGAAAACCAACGAATAAAACAAAAAAAACGACATACATGGAAGAATTTGCATAACATTCACTTTAACACGACTACACTATGCAACCGTTCGAATGGACACGTAAAAAAGATCTCACATAAAAACCACTTGTTCACGGTTTGTTGATTCTTCTATTGTGCCATTGAACTTTCGGATCCAACACAATGCCACATTTATGTAATACAATGTAATAAATAAAGAATTATATTGATCGAAACTGTGTCAGAAGTGAGTTTTGCAATTTCCTCGGTGAGAGACCAAAAAAAAGATGAAAAGGAAATTAGTCATGCTACGAATTTCTTAACTGAATTTGATTTGGGCACTAGAAATTAGGTGTTTGTGGTTTAGATTCGTTACGTCTTTGATTTGCTGAAGTAATAGACATAGACTGCACAGTTGGTGCGATGGCTGGGTAACCGGCTGCCGCACCAACTCTTTGTGTGATCCACAAATTGTTGTTTCGGGTCTGGGTGTCATGTGCATGTGAACTTGTATGTTTGTAAACGCACCCACGACACAGGAGAAAACCCAGTGTGGGGCAACGGTTTAAAAAATTGTAACTAACTAATGAGACAGATATATTCTGTCTTATTAAGAAAATGCCTCACTATTTCTTTTCTTTCCAAAATTAACCTAGGTGTAGTTACAATAGCAGTTTTATCCGTGAAGGGGTTAATCAGAGGTGCACATTATGCCACTGTATAATGTAACACCCACTTTTCACTATTTATGTTATGAGTCCCATGTAATAGGGGGTGAGGCTATTGCCATATACCGGGCACGATTCCAGTTTCAGTGCCACTACTGACAATTTTCAAATAACTGTGCCCGTATCATAACAAGTACCCCAATCACAAATACCCTATTAAATCCTAAATATTCAAATGAAGAAATCGAATAAATACATCTTCAAATTCTCAATAAAGAATCTCCTTAATATACCTTCCTAACAGTTTTGGGCACTACGCCAAAACGCGATCAAACGTATAAGGTACGCCAAATGAGGTGTTGAAATTGTTCAAATAGGCTAACAAAAGTTTGGAACAAAACCAAAGGAGGTGATATACCCTCTCAAAGGATCGAACAATGGATTTAGAGAGCTTTGGACTGCGTTTGACTGCAGAAAGTGTTGAGAATATAAATATATTGGACATTTTAGAGTTTTTGTTCGAGGTCTGATGTTAAAAGTGGTATTGGAGTTGGAAATTAGAATAATAGTTTTAATGGTAGCTCATTCTAAGGGTTTTTTTTAAGGGGGGAAAATCATCGAATGACTGCTCCCGCCTGGGTGAGGCGGGAGGGAGTGTCAGACTCTTACTGACTAAAAACCACCCCATTCCTTCTCCTGCATGTCAAGCCGGAGCCCCGGTTACCCGTTAGGTTCTCCGCGACTCATTCTAAGGGTTACGATACACATGCTTTAAAATAACATGCTGAAAGGCGTTCTATTGAACATGCTCAAAAAAGTTCAAAAATCGAACGCCTGTCAATACACAAAGAAGCCTGAAACAAGGCAAATTTTGAGCAACATTCCGACACACATGCTACTAAGTGACAAGTGTTTAATTAAAGCATGCCTTCGTGCTTCAAATTAGCATGTGTTACAGTACCTTAAATATTATATAGTTATTACTGTGAAAGATATATATCAAGGTATCCAAACAAATGACAATCGGTATGGCCATTAATTTTTTTTTTAATAAATTGAATTTCTCCACGGGCTTGTGTCCGTGCCCTTGTCATATTACAAGTACATAATTTTCATGGTCAAATATTTTGTATAATGATCTTACATGCTACGCCAACCACTAATATTACTACACGCCTTTTCATTTTTACAACCCATGAGGTTTGCGGTTAGCCGCATTTAAACACGTGATATTTCTAAAGTTAATTTTAAGTACTTGTTTTGGGATAATTCTGAACCGGAAAGAGTATCAACATACTGATCTGATGGCAAATAAATAAAACTAGATTTTTGCTAGAAAGATTAAATCTTAAAGGAACCAAAACCAATCAATCACACAAGACAAAAAAAGCAACGATACAAAACAACAAAATAATACATTACATAACATATTAATTTTGCTAGAAGAAAAAAAAAACAAAATACAACAACTACTATTTGTCTTCGAAAGAATCTTGCGCGTCTAATAAATCAGTGTTTTTTTCATCATACGCTTAGTACGTGGGTGAGTTTATTGACGATATATCCCGTAGTAGAGGTCCGGTAACTAGGCTGGAAATGTTAGGGAAGAATGCCAAGGATTTATGTCTAGAGTCGTCTATGTTTGACGAGGTTTGACGATGATATCGTTATCTGGATACGCCAGTTGAATGTTACAATAACGATTAATATTATATATGTTATTGTAGATATAAATTTGGGAGAGCCATGCTTCGGCACGAACGGGCCGGCTCGACCGGAGTAATTTCACGGCCTCACAGAAAACCGACGCGAAACAACGCTTGCGTTGTGTGAGTGAGATTACCGGAGGCCCAAGTACAATGAAGGATCCTCAAATACCTAATCCCCAAAAGACAGGCAACGCACCAGACTAATTACTGGGCTCTATTTTTCTTTCTTACTTCCTGAGAATATTAAACTTTACTGGAAACACGGTTTCAAATTACGTTCCTTTGCTTGACCGCGGTATTAGGGAGCACAATTGATCAATAAGACAGTTAACTTATGATATTTTGATAATTCTAATATCTACGAATTATTTTAAACAGATATACTACCAAAAAAGTCTAAAAAGTCAAGAAGGATGTTTTAGGACAAAACATCAAGGAGAACCGTCATAAACAAAAATTGATGCATGCTACTGCACCATCCAGTTTCGTAAGTCCTCGAGATAGCCAGAATTATGGGTGTCACAAATTATCTTAGAGAAATTCCAGGTTTACGATGTAATAGATCCGAGATATTAGGACTCGTAAGTAAAAGTTTTGGACCTCTGCAAGACGGAGATACTAGCCAACATTTTACTAATGAGATAAGATCTTAGTGAAGAAGGTGCTACAGCGATACCGTCTGTGTTTTGTTTAACGTAAGGTTGATTTTTGTAGATCAAGGATGAGTAGTGATGGTGATAGATGAAAATATTTTTACTGATGTTTTGAAGGTACAGAAGTAAAGTTCAAGAGCAAAGACTAGACTATCTCATCATTATCATCGAATCTACGGAATCATAGGCAAATCCTACGTAAAAAGGTTTACCATTATCACTTAACAGGCAAATTGGACCTGACAGTTTAAAAGTACATATTAAGCATCTAAGTAGACTAATCAGAGGTAGATGCCAATCATCTATTGCAAACTAATGTAACTGAAAAAGATAGGAAGACCAAAATAGATAAACGACTGTTTACCACCAGGCGAGATAGTGGTCAAACGTCGACCCATCAAATATAAATAAAAACACGAATTAAAAACGACAATCCGACATTTGACATCGCATCATGCCAATTCAAATGCAATAAGTGAACGTAATCTTGATACCAAATCTACTAATCTCTTAAAAATAAATGTGGCCGATATTACGCATGCACTTAAAGAGAAAGGCTTCAAAACTGGTCTTAGAATAAGTGAAGGTGCTATCCCTTTTGCCAGTTCCTTGCAAAACCGGTCAGGTCGATGTCCAGTTTTGATAATACGATATTGCAGACATTAATGCGTTTTTATGTGTTAAAATACATTAAGGAATTTAACGGTATGCTTTTTATTTACGACGATGGTACAAGCGTGTGTTGATTCTGTTGTCTTCTATATATTTGTCTAGTTATTGTAATTTCATATAAATGGATTATGTACAGTTGTAATTAGACTTCAGGTTCGCTCACTATTTATAATTAAGATTGTTGTGTACGATTTCAATCTGTCGTCTGTATCTGTACTTATGTAAAATAAATCCTTACTAATATTATAAATGGGAAAGTGAGTTTATTTGTTTGTTTGTTCCGCTTTCACGCCGTAACTACTAAACCGATTGCTTTGAATTTTTGCAGACGTAAAGTTATAAGTCTGGATTAAATAATAGGGTACTTTTTATCCCAGAAAAAATTGATATTCTCGAGGGAAAACGAAATTATTGGTATAGATGGCGCTGTGTGTATTGGTATATGTCACATAGGCTACTTTTTATCCTTTTGTGACGCGAGCGAAGCCGCGGGTAAAAGCTAGTAAATATATAAAAATGAAACTAGTTTCCCGTTGTCACGGCATAACTTGAGATCGACTAGACCGATTTGGCTGATTTTTTTTTGTGTATTTTTATCGTCATTAGAAAGATCTTATGACAGAAAAAGGTCCTTAAAATCCCACGGGAATGAGAGAAACGGGATTGCGCGTACGAAGTCGTGGGCAGAAGCTAGTATTACATAATAGTCGTCTGAGAGTTCCTTCGGTCGCCGAGTCTATTCGGCTAGGTCAATATTCAGAGCAGAGGACGTCTAGTTGCTGATAATAATATGATGATGATATTATAGTAATTTTTGAGCTATGATCGTAATTATGAGGCTCTCGCCCAATATGGTAGATGCCTAATTTTTATTTAATGTCCATCTGGTAGATTCTATATCTGTAAATATTTTCTGACAGAAACAAATAGTTTCAACGATATATTGATTTGAAATGTCGCGTGACGTCACTTCAATGTACATTTTATACGTAGAAATGACGTTTTATCCCCCACCCTAAACTTTGATTCTTATCTTGGTACTATTTGAGATACGACAAAATAAAAAAATACGTGTCTAATATTTTTTTTTTTCGTTACCTAACTTACGGACTAGATAGGTTTTTAATTTTCGTATCTCGTCATCATCCCAATTTTAAGTTGTACTTAAATGTCGTGCCATCTCTGTCTTTTACAAAGAATTTCAAGTGAAATAACTATACTTTAGCGGTTCTTAAAATTGAGTGTAGCCTTTCAGTATTCAGGCGTCAGAGTCTAATATTAAATTCGGTGTATGGCAAAAGATATGTCCTTTTTCATGTATGTATATATTCTGATCTACATCATAACATCACACCTTATATCCCCGAAGGAGCCAGAGGTGCAAATTACGGCACTTAATGCCACTGTACACTGTGACACCTACTTTTCACTATTTATATAAGTCCCATGTAATAGGGGTGAGCCTATTGCCATATACCGGGCACTATTCCAAACTCTATGCTACTACTGAGATTTTATTAGATTTGAATATGTTCTTCGGAGATAATAATATGGGTCACATAAAACTATTAATTTAAACCATTTAACTCTAATGCCATTTTCGCCCTTATTATCATCTTTATGTAAATCACCAAAAAGTGAATTATAAATTTGATCTGACTGTTCTGACACTCAAGTGTATATTATCAATTTAAATTGTTTATTTTTTGAACTTTGCAATCTTAAACACGTTACACTATTCATAATCTTCCATCATTTTAATAACAGTACAATAACTATAATAGCATTTACATAGATTAGATAACCAACATAACCATTATAACACGACAAACGTTTGGTATTACGAACAAAGATTATATTGTTATCTATATCGTGACAAAGGAGTTTTGATATTTATCAACTTCATAATGATATTTTATTAAACAAAGGAATTTTATGAACGTGGTTGTTTGTCATGGTTGTATTAAATGCCTGTGGTTTTGCTCGCTTTTCGTTTGATGTTTAGCGGCTTTTTATGATAATAATTTTAAGTAGTTTTTTTTTGTTTTTATGTTATTTATGGCTATTGTAACAAAAAGTGCATGTGTTAAATGAAATGTAACTCTAACTTTGTGACAGTTAAGTCTTATGTAATAAGAAGTAAATATTGTTTTTTTTTCCTGTAAATTGATCACTGAATTTAAGTTAGAAATTCATAATATTTTTAAAGAGCAAATCGGTTAATGAAGATGGCACTAATGCATTTTGGAAATTAAATATGAAAAAATTAATAAAAATTTATAACACAATATTGTAAGACTATAGAAAAAATCCACAAAATTAAATCTAAATCACTGAAGTCCGATTAGGCTTACAACACAAAACCTCTTGGGCAAACAATCCAATAATTCACTAACGCCATCTCTTAGTCACACGTTGCACTACTAACACTTTGAAGAAAAAAAATATATTATTGAACACTTACAAAAGTCTTCATTTTTCTGTGCTTGGTATGATGGCTGTGCCGGCTAAGCTTGCAGTGATAGCTTCCAACAAATGCACAAAGATTTTTATAGAGAACGGAAGTGAGTGTCTCAGAGAGGAGCGTGGTAGAAAGGTGGTGGTAATTCTATAGAGCTGTTGACACCACTTTTTTGGTGATCTGATTATGATTTAATTTTTTTATTTTTTATGTAATTTAATTGATTATTACTTTTCTTGTTTGTTGTGTTGTGGTTTTGTATGTAGATTGACTTTACTGTTGGTTGGTTGTGGCATGTCGTTGTAAATTAAATATGCCATCATTGATAGTGTTTAAAATTTTTCTAAAGAAGTTATTATCTCTAGTATCCCGTATTTTATTATTCAAGTTTCGCTCTTATCACGGAAATACCTGTAACTGGTAAAAGTAGACACGTATAAGAACGTCTTACAACATATTTCTAACATACTTCTAAGTACATAAGATTTTTTTGATGATAAAGCAAAAACCTAATATAAAACCCATTTTAGTAACAAATTATAATACGATGCCATATCAAGTCTAGCAACTTTTTTACAAACTCAAGTTGGTAAAAAAGTTGAAGTATTATCGATATAAAAACTCTGAAGTGAGCTAATCTAATCTGCATGAATAAAAACTTGTGGCTCCATAAATATATTAGAACTGAATGTTTCTAATAATAAATACTAGACATTACACTTATCTTTAGATAAACCGCAACACTTTTTGTCTAAAAACACATACTATAATCTATATTTTCAAATAAAAAAAAGATGTAACCATATTATTTTCGTTTATGTTTCCACTCACATCGAAATCCCGGTTTTGCTTGTATATCTGAAATAGAAACGAAGAGTGTGTATTATAAGTATGAGTCCAAATAAGGTTTGACCTATACTTCATTTATAAATCTCATCTAAAACTGCTCAGTAGTTATCAAGTTTAGTAAGAAAAGTATCTATCTTGCCGTCCTTGCTAACTTTCATAATTATATTAGTAGTAAGTTACCTACATTTTTATATAAAAAAAAACATAGCCTTAATGTGGGGGTGATTCACACAGCGAATAATGATGTATTAGACAAAAACAAACCAAGTGAAGCGCTAATCGAAATTTTGTAAGTTCTTGTAGTGACCTTGATGACAATGCTCATTTTAATGATCTATAAATTCTGAGAGTAAAAAAAACTATTTAATTATGACAAATCACGTAGATATTTAGTCAACATTTCAAAATGACTCCTGTAGTATAATCTTATTCATTATTTATTTATTAATTATATTATAACAAGGTTTTATATCAATAACATGTTATCATTACTGTGTGTTACACAAAAAAAAGAAATCAAACTATAACAATGCTAGAAGAAAAAAAAGGAGAAGGAACAAAAATTATCATCACAAAACAAAATATAAACAATAAGTTGCAATACTAATACCGTAGACCTTCTCTACATAAAAGGGGTTTGTCTTAAAAACACACAAAAACATCTAATTAAATAAGTTTCCTTCGATAGTATGTTCAAACTAAAAAAAAATAAAGGCACAGAGCTAGTAATGCCACGTGATTTATTGATCTCACATACTAGACAGCAATTTACTCAATTACATCCGAAAATATCATCGGTAAAGCTCTCATTAGTCTTTTCTGTCTACGTTTTTCTTGCGACCATATTTTTTTCTGTTTTGTAATAGAAAGTATATTATTACACTTGCTTTTTCTTGTGGTTTCACCTTTGAACTTTGTTTTTAAATAACTTAGCTTAATGATTTCGTTTATAATCTTTTTCAACAGTTGTAATATTATTATGCACAGAACAATTAAATACGATTTATTTTTCTGTTATAAGATGAATGTATGTTTAATTTATTTTTATGCTTTAAAAGTCAATAAAATATGGTCTCTACTTCAACTTTCAAATTTGGTAAAACCTAAATAAAAGTGATTTAGCCTAGGTATCAATTAATTACTATCTCCGTATAATTTCGATAGCAAGCTCAGGAACATTAGTTCAACGAGTCTGTTTTCACGAACACAGAATCCCTTCAGTACCCAAACGCAAATGACCAATCGTTCCCATCTAAAATTCCAGTGAATTCAATAATTTGCTAAGGGACAAGGATTGAAACTTGGAATTTATTCAAATGATCCGAATTGTAAATTTGTTTGACCGTTGAAATTATCAGGACCCCTTGTATTTGACTGTCTTATTTATATTCATTAGTTTGTTCAGATAATGAAACTTTGATTACCAAGGCTTGAAGATATTTTGGTTCGTAATATTTCTATGGAATTTAATTACTTAGCTGGCTTCCATTTTCAATGAGTTTATGTTCGGATTCATGATTTATTTTGTTTTAATAATTTTGTTAAGTTTGATTGCGTATTTGTGTTTCATTTACAAATGGTCTATTATTTCTATTGTTCGTTTTTATTCTTGTTGTTTGTTTAGTAAGATCGCCTCACTCTATTAGAAAACTGGTTTTTACATGCGACTTTGTTCATGTAATGAAAAAAGTTTGTCAATCAATTTGACACTCTTGCTTTATTTTTTCTTTCAACTTTAATTAATAAATATCACAGCTATGCATTAATGATATCTATCAACATCATCATCATCATCATCGCCCTTTCAATCACAAGAAGTTTATTGCTTAAACTAATCCGCTTCTATCGTGTATTAAAATTTTCTTTCACAAATCGATGGTGGAAAATAATTTAAAAATGGTGTACTGTAAAGAGAAAAAAATGGTCGTTTATTAGTTTTAATCTAAATTTTATCTCCAATTCTAGTTAATAAACATATAGTTCATAATTGAATGACATTCGTACTATGTTTAGCCTTGTTTGGACAAATGATTTTCCTTGATTGAATACATTCTTTGTTTCCAGAAATTTCTGAAGTATTTATTAACTTTAAATATCAATAGACTTATTTTTGTTACTAACTGCCAATTTTAGACACGAAAAAGGAAAACGACTTGAGACAATTTTAAAAGAAAACACCATTAGGTAAAATAACTGTCTTCTTCACGAATTGCTATTCAATATATATTTGAACTTTTTTGATTGAAGTACTACTGGATTTTTATAAATTCTCAGTAGTAGCACGGAGTCTGGAATTGTGCCCGGTATATGGCAATAGGCTCACCCCCTATTACATGGGACTCATAACATAAATAGTGAAAAGTGGGTGTTACATTGTACAGTGGCATAATGTACACCTCTGCCTACCCCTTCGGGGATAAAAGGCGTGATGTTATG